AAGAATTAAAGAACCCCATAACAAGAAGTTTTATTTTATGAGTCGATTACTTAATTGCTTTTGCTGACTTCCATATTACTCTGCGTTCGGGATCTCCCTTATAAAGTAGATGGGTTGACTCATTGTTGGTTGGTAACTGAACTGATCTGCAAGCAAATTCGGTTGCTGACAAATGATTGGCTGATGACACCAAAAGAGGATTGCAATAGAAAAGGCAAGGATTGGTTAAACTTTGTTAGGTGCGGTTTAATTTGTTTGTTGTTGTTTTTTTTGTTTTTTTTATGGAGGAGGCAGGGGCTCACTTCCAAATTACTTGTACTAAGTGGCAATCTCTCTTGGAAAAGGAAAATTCTCAATGTCGAAACCTGGAGAAGGCAATAGAAACCACTCCACTATCTTTCCCAAGAATAATTGGCAATTCATAGATAGGAAAAGGAACGTGTGGAGAGCCATGATCACCTGCGTTGGGAAAATACATGGCATATTAAAAAAAAAAAAAATTAAAAAAAATTTACAATTACCTATACTATCAATATTTCAGAATTGATTTACTGATAAATATAGCACAACTGAATATTATTTTTTTATTTATATATATATATATATATATATATATATAAAAGAAATATGTTGTAGTGGTTCCAACGAGAGAAAAGTATGTATATTAAAAAAGAAGAGGGGTGCATAAACGTTTTTGGTTGTAATGTGGATTTATTGTGAAAAATATTATACTTTGTTTTACATAATTTCACGACCACGTGTTTCTGGTCTGGTCTCGCAACGTCTTCAGGTGAAAGTGGAGATTTTTACATATTATTAAAAATAATTAATTTTTTCTTCATGTTCAATGTGGAATATTCTCGATATGACACAAACAGAATGTCTCATATCGAGAATATTCCACATTTATTCCATTGGAATCATAAATACGATCCAATTCATCAGACCTACAAATTGTAGGTCTGACGAGTTGTAAATTATATATTAATAATACACATTATTTTTCCTCATCAGCAGCAAGACTCATTTCATACACAAGGCAACACCTGAAGATTGCATTGTGCATGAAACTGAGTTTTTCTATTGGTGGGTGTCTTGGGTAAATTTATATTTACTAATATATACTTAATAGTTCTGTTATATTACATTGAACATTATTTTATTAACACCAGCACTCAATGTACTTTTTATATAATATAATGCACAGTCAAACAATACAGGAAAAATAAAAAAAAACTAAGCAAAAAGATTTCCACGTATGATAAGTGCATAAAAAAGCTAAAAAAAAAATATATATATATATATATATATATAAGCTGTAAATTTGCTTATACCCCTAAAGATAGAAAAATGATATACCATATTTTCCGGACTATAACCTGCAACTTTTTTCTTGAAATATATAGGTTGCAAGTTATATATGAATTGTGGCTTTGAATTTTGAGTGGATGGGTTTAGGGAACATAGCTTCACAAAAACTGGTCGCCAGTGTCGAGCCAATTATGTCCAAATAGTTGAATTTATAGGAGTGCGGGTTATATACAGGTGCTTACTATAGTGCATAAAATATGGTGTAGATGAATGTAATGTTATGTAACATAACATCTGTTATGTAACGTATGTAATGTATGACTGATTTCCTTCTACAAATCTTATACAGAAACAGACAGTATGTTTTAATTCTACCTAAAGCATTAATATTTCAGCTATTTTTAATCTAAAGTTGGGTAGATATAAAAATAAAATTAAATAAGCCTCAATATGCCATTACTAAAATATAGTACTGCATTTTTTTTTCCCTTTTGCTTTGTTGCTTTTTACTTTCATTTTTAATTTTTATTTATGCTTTTCTTTCTTTTTAGGTAAGTAAAGAACTTCGGAATATTCTGGCTACAACAGTAAAGTAAGAAATACATTTACTTATTATTCCCCAACTCTAATTTTTATACCTATATTCCCTGGGGGTGCACAAACAGGGCACTGACCCATTACTCTTTCTTTCCTTGTCTAGTGTCTTCCCACTATCTGAAAGCAATTTCTAGAAGGAAACTTCTTTACACTCTTAATGACATATATCTTAAAGAGAACATTAAACCAACCATTTTTTTATATATATATATATATATATATATATATATATATATATGTGTGTGTGTGTATATATATATATATATATATATATATATATATATATATATATATGAAAAAATTTCTCAGATTTAACCTGTAGAAAAAGAAAATAGTTATAAAGGTAAAAGACAATAGGAAAACTGTAATATTAGTCGATGGATGTTTTGAGTGTCAAATATTAATCTATGCCCAGGGTTTTTTCCCCCAATTTCACCTTTCCTAACAGAATTACTCCCCCACCCCAAGCAAACATACACAATTGTATCAAGAAATCAAAAGAAAATGGTTGAATCGGACAATATAACAATAAAAACAATATTTCCACATGTGACAATACTTGATGTAATTTTCAGTTGACAATATGAATATCATTGCCTTTTCTAAATTCTTCCAGTTGTTAAGGACATTTTGTTTTAATAAATTCATTTCGTTTTTGCCTTGAAAAAGTCCACATTGGATGAAACATGTCGGCTAATATTACAGTTTTCCTATTGTCTTTTACCATTTTTATATATATATATATATAATATATATATATATATATAAATAATACACACACACACACACACACACACACACACACACAAAGTATATCAAAAATACTTTTACAAACTTTTTGGTCGGGTACCTCACACCAAAGCAAGTATATATGTGTGGTTGGTTTTAACATCATATATCTTGAAAATTGAAGGGTAACTTCCAAAGAATTTTGAACTGAACACTTTATTTAATCTACAAAGATAGACTGTTTCTGTTCCATTCTCCATAGACATCTTGTCTCGTGCTTATTTTCAGTTTTTGCTTGCTCCATTTCCACGGTGCCCATGTACACACTGGGGACATTAGCTTATTGCCTGAAATAATTCATGAATTTAATGTTATTGTAATTTTAATGATCAATACCTGAAGAAAAAAAAATGTCTAAGTTACGCAAATGGCAATGGTGTTTTTGTCTAAGTCCACTACCTGTCCTGGGTAAGACGATAAACTACGTCCAGCAACAAGGCCTCTGATCAGGAGGTTTTGAGGAGTGTGGAACCACCTCCTAATTGCTGGTGTTCCCAGGTCCATCCTGACCCGGGGTGGTAGCACCTGTTAGGGTCCCAGCTATAGGCAAATAATAAAAATAGGTTTTAATACCAGGAATACTTTGTAATAAAAAAAATTATTAACAGCAATAATTTTTGAAGGAAAAATTATCAGTAATAATTAATTTACAGTGAATAATTTAAAAAAAGAACTTTTTACAAAAATAAAACCATCCAAGATTGTAAATTCCCTAAAAGAAGTTGGATTGTACTCAAAATTATGAGTAATTGAAAAATGGTTCAAATATATATGTATACATATACACCTTTTTTTTACCAAAACTTTCACTATGAGTCTATTTCAAAAATTTTGTTATTAAATGACCCACTGAGGTTGATATACCATAAAACAACCAACCAACCACTATCACAACACAGGTAACAGCTTAAAATGTGAGAGGGCTTTTTACCTGTATTTGGGATATCAGTGGACATGGTCAGTGAAATGAGAACAATCTAACTCTTTAAATTGAATAAAGGGTTTGGTTAGAAAGTTACTCGTATCAACAAGCACCTGATGAAGGCTGGTGGACACAACAGTTGAAATCTGATTACAACAGGCGGGGGGGACAATAGTCCACATGCAAATCTTGAATAAGTACAAAAAGCCAAAATAAAGAGTGAAATTGTTTAGAGCAGGAAACGGGAGAAAGCCACAAATGCCCACATTCTTTGGGGGGCACTGTACATAAAAGAATGTTATTTTTGTAAACTAAAGCGTCTAAAAATGGTGGGGGTTTCCCTCCTGTTTGTCATACTATTTTTTTTTTTTTTACTTTTAAACACGTGAAACAGGAAAGGCTAATTTTGTCACTAATGTATTTTAATCAGTATCATGGGATGAAGTGTCTGTCATTATTGCTAGCAGTCGGAAACTTTTGAGCAGTCCATCTGTGATGACACCTCTCTCTCTCTCATATATATATATATATATATATATATATATATATATATATATATATGAAAGTATGCAGAAAATAGAAAAGAACACGTTGGGTGCATAATCTGGAGTTCCTTAGTATTTTTATTTTTATTTTTAAGAAGACAGTGCTCCATACAGAAGTAGAGCTTTATTATAATATTTTTTTTTGTTTAAAAAAAATGATTCCTTCGCTACATAAGAGTCCTCATGTTTCAAAAACGAGAGCCAAAACCATCCAAATAATTATTAAAATCAAGTTGAATTGAGGTGTTTAGTCGAAATCCTAAAATTTTGCTTGAAGATGAAACAAGACTAAACACCTCAATTTTAATAATTATTTGGATGGTTTCACTCTTTTTTTTGAAACATGAGAACTCTTATATATCATATAAACATATATATATATATATATATATATATATATATATATATATATATATATATATATTTTTTTTTTTTTTTTTTTTTTTTTTTGACAATGGTTATTACTGCTAGCAACTGCAAAAAAAAAAATGGCCTGGGAAACAATTATTTGATCTTATAGCCAGCTTTGTAGTCGGTCAGATTTTATCGACTTGAAAAATTTCCTTCTTGCCTTTTTCCATGAGTCTGTTTCTGTTGGTAAGAATTGTTTCATTTTTACTGAAGTTAAAAAGAAGAAAAATATCGTCGTAAACCTGAAACAACTTCAAAAGTTTACCTACGGCAGGTTTTAACATGCTTACTGCATATTGTTTTTACTCAGGAATCTATTCTGTCTGCGTTTCCTTTTTTAATTCGTCTTAAATCTGCAGCTGTTGTTCTTTTGTACAGGTTCTTTAATTTTTTGATACAAATTTTGAGCAAATAATTTTTGTTAGTCTGTGTTTATTTTTTTATTTTTTTTCCCTTTACTTTCGTCATCTGCATTTTCTCTTTCCCTCTCTCTCTATCACTATGGTCTCTCTCTCTCTCTCTCTCTCTTTCTCTCTCTACTTCTCTCTCTCTCTCTCTCTCTCTCTAATTCTATGGTCTCTCTTTCTCTCTCTCTAATTCTATGGTCTCTCTCTCTCTCTAATTCTATGGTCTCTCTCTCTCTCTCTCTAATTCTATGGTCTCTCTCTCTCTAATTCTATGGTCTCTCTCTCTCTAATTCTATGGTCTCTCTCTCTCTCTCTCTAATTCTATGTCTCTCTCTCTCTCTCTCTCTCTAATTCTGGTCTCTCTCTCTCTCTCTCTCTCTCTCTAATTCTATGGTCTCTCTCTCTCTAATTCTATGGTCTCTCTCTCTCTCTTCTTGGTCTCTCTCTCTCTCTCTCTAATTCTATGGTCTCTCTCTCTCTCTACTTCTATGGTCTCTCTCTCTCTCTAATTCTATGGTCTCTCTCTCTCTCTCTCTAATTCTCTCTCTCTCTCTAATTCTATGGTCTCTCTCTCTCTCTCTACACTTCTATGGTCTCTCTCTCTACACTTCTATGGTCTCTCTCTCTACACTTCTATGGTCTCTCTCTCTACACTTCTATGGTCTCTCTCTCTCATCTCTCTCTCTCTCTCTCTCTCTCTCCATCTCTCTCTCTCCACATCTCTCTCTCTCTCATCTCTCTCTCTCTCTCTCTCTCTCTCTCCATCTCTCTCTCTCTCCGTCTCTCTCTCTCTCTCGTCTCTCTCTCTCTACGTCTCTCTCTCTCTCTCTCTCTCTCTCTCTCTCTCTCTCTCTCTCTCTCTCTCTCTCTCTCTCTCTCTCTCTCTCTCTCTCTCTCTCTCTCTCTCTCTCTCTCTCTCTCTCTCTCTCTCTCTCTCTCTCTCTCTCACATCTCTCTCTCTCTCTCTCTCTGCCGTCTCTCTCTCTCTCTGCCGTCTCTCTCTCTCTCTCTCTGTGTATATATATATATTTCTCTCTCTGTCTCCTACATACTCATTTTTTTCTCATATATATATATATATATATATATATATATATATATATATATATTATTTTATTTTTCTCTCTCATTATTATATATATAGTGTGTGTGTTCATGCACCATCTTTTACTCTTGTATTGTTGCAACTTTGGATCCATATATTTATTGATATTTTTTAAAACATTTTTATTCTCTTTGCATCTTTTTTTTTTTTTCTTTCATTTTTTTTCGTCTGTGTTTTTCTCTAAGACATTTTCATTGTTTAATCCATTGATTTCTCTTGGTGTGTTGGGAGTGGAGTGGGGGCAGGCACAGTTTCTCTTTTTATTGTTTTATTTAACAGACGTACTCTACCCCCCAGCGACCGCACCACACACGCTAGAATTCTTGGAGAACAAAATGAAAAAAAAAGAATAAATTAATGTAACTATTGTTCTGCAGAATTATCGTCTCGGTATTCAAATATTTTTGAACAATTGGCTGTTTTCTTTGCTTATATATATATATATATATATATATATATATATATATTTAATTTTCTTTTTTTAAATATGCTTTTAAAATTACTAAAGTTTTTTTTTTATATACATTGTTAGTTTGTGTGTGTGTGTGTGTGCTGTCTTTGACATCAAAGACAAAACTTAATCAAGTCTCTTGTATTTGGAAGGAGAGGAATCTAGTTTTTACCGATTCATTATGTGGTCATTCCAAGAGCAATTTGGACTGCAATGTCGGATTCGATTAGGTAAAATCAAATTACTGTTGTTTATAAAACTTTTGGTATCTTCATGATACTGTTATTTTTTATTTTTTTAAACTTCATTTAAGGTTTGGTCTGAAGTTCGAAGAGGGAGGGGGTCATTATTAACCGACTTGCATTTTGGACTATTGCCCACATCTATCTTGTTTTCACGACATTTCAGTCATTGTGACCCCCAGACTTCATCAGGCATATATCGATCTAGGTAACCCTCCAGGGAATTCTGAACTGAATTCTTTTAATCTATGTGATTAGACTATTTTCATTCCACTGCCCATGTCTAGCGATATCTTGTCTAGTTCATATTTTTAGTCTTGGGGCCTTTGGACTGCAGCCCGTATATAAATCCCGCACTGGTTGCAAATAGAATATTAATGTTAACCATGGATATATGATTTTTTTTTTCTTTCTTAAATCAAAGACTTCTTTTATATGCACTGTTTCTTCAAGACGTTGGCAATCATGGCTCTCCACAATTTCCTTTTCTTTGTAGCTCTTAATAAATTTTGTCTTTTTGTTATCTCTCCTAAACCTTGGTCCGTCATCCATTTACTCAAACTCATTCTTCTTCTTCTTCTATGAAACTTCAGGACATTGTGATCAAACAATTTCTGGAAATTTGGTCTTTTGTTATCTCTCCTAAACCTTGGTCTGTCATCCATTTACTCAAATTTCCTTCTTTTTTGCTGTGAAACTTCAGGACATTCTTAATAAATT